TAATATGCTAAGCTGGAAAGGACGCAGCAGATCATTGAGTACGACTCTTGTTCCTGCACAGAACACCACAAAATCACACCGTGTGCCTGAGAGCATTGTCCAAATGCTTTTTGACCTCTGACACACTTGATGCTGTGACCACTTCCTTGGGGAGCCCGTTTCAGTGCCCAAACACCCTCTGGGTGAAAAACCTTTTCCTGATATCCAGCCTAAACCTCCCCTGACTCAGCTTTAGGCCATTCCCTTGGGTCCTGGCACTGGCCACAAGAGTGAAGAGATCAGTGCTTGCTGCTCCTCTTCCCCTCACAAGGAAGTTGTAACCGCAGAGGTCTCCCCTCAGTCTCCTCCAGGCTGAACAGACCAAGTGACCTCAGCTGCTCCTCACATGGCTTCACCTCAAGGCCCTTCACCAATTTGTTGCCCTTCTTTGAAACTTTCTAAGAGCTCAATGTCTTTCTTATATCCAAAACCGTGCCCAAAACTGCTCCCAGCCCTGGAGGTGAGGCTGCCCCAGTGCAGAGCAGAGCAGGACAATCCCCTCCCTTGCCTGCCTGCTGTGCCTGATGCCCCCAGGACACAGGTGGCCCTCCTGGCTGCCAGGGCACTGCTGGATCCTGTTCAACTTGCCACAGACCAGGTCCTTTTCCACGGAGCTGCTCTCTAGCCTCTCATTTCCTGTCTATACACATATCCAGGGTGGCCCCATCCCAGGTGGAGAAACTGAAGTGCTTGGAGCATGTTCAAAGAAGAGCAAAGAAGCTGACAAAGAGTCTAGAAAACAAGTCTTCTGAGGAGTGACTGAGGGAGCTGAGGGTGTTGAGCTTGAAGGAAAGGGACTTGAGGGGCATCTTGTTGCTCTCTACAGCTTCCTGACAGTAGATTGTAGACTGGTAGGGGTCCATCTCTTCTCCCAGGTAACAAGCAATAGGACAAGAGGAAATTACCTCAAATTGCTCTGGGGTAGGTTTAGGTTGGATGCCAGGGTGCCCAGGGCAGTGGTGGAGTCACTGTTCCTAGAGGTACTTAAAAGATGTGTAGGCATGGTGCTTAGGGATGTGGTTTCCTGCAGGACATGGCAGTTAATGGTTGAATTCCACCGTCTTAAGGGTCTTTTTCAACCTAAATAATTCTATGATTCTATATTCTGGGCTGCTTGCAGGTGGTATGAAGCATGGAAGGAAGGGTGGAAATCCCTGTGTGTTTCAGTGCTCCACAGGAACTGGGCGTGTGCTCAGGCTGTGGCTCACTCAGCTTCTCACACCAACCATCTACGTGGTCACCCCAAAGCCTGGTGAGGGCTGATAAGTGACTCTTGACTCAGCAAAACTTTGCTGTAAGACACTGCAGGGCCAGTACTGTGAATTTTCCTCTATTTTGTCTGTCTTTGACCTTGAAGGGAGCTTTGTGAAAGAAAGAGTCACTGTGCCCCCAAGTTCTTCAGACGTGTTTAATGGAACAGATGGACTTCAAAATCTTACAGAGCTGGCACTTGGCATCTCTCAGGAAGGAAATATCTAGAAGACACTTGTCCCTCGAGTGTAAACTGCTTTAAATGCCAAGGAAGCAATTTCAGTATCCCACAGAAAACTTTGGTAATGGTTAGCAATGTGGAAATTACAGGCCCCATCACCTACTTTCAATTTGTCTGTACTCTGAAGTAGAAGGACTGAGATGTGGCCAAAGCTGCACCCCCTTTGCTGCAGAGGAAGTTCTGCAAGTGGGTTAAATGTTATGGCCAGTCTTGGCTACATGAACTGGACACTTTACAGTATGCCAAGTGCTGCTTCCCTCCCCTTTCTCTCCACATTTCAGTTCAGCTAACCCTGGGCCGTTTTCTCTGATGTGTCCAGTTTCCTCAGTTCCTGAGGCACTGGAAGATGTCAACTGAGGGTTCAGCTGAGCAACCTGGGCATCTCCAGTGTCACAGACTCCTCAAATGTCATTGGAGCTGCTCGGTAGGGGAACATCACCAACCTTGGGTGCAGCTCACCAAGCCCCCACACAGCTTTCAACACACAAATATCCTAGGAAAGTTTTGTCCAAGGGACAAACACTCCTAGGGCTGGATCCTGCCATTGGCTGGACTGCTTTCACTGTAGACACAACACCAGGCTTTGGATCTATGTGTAAGTCAAAGGTCCTCATGAGCCTCAAGGGTATCTGTCCCCCTGTCTGGCAAGGCTACTGCAAAGCACTATCCAGAGACCTACACATCCCTCCCTGCAGTGATGGATGCAGCCCTGGTCAACATGGGCAGCTGGGGGAGCTATGCTGCTGCCACTCTTAGAGGGTGTCAGGGAACTTCTTCCAGTTTTGTCTCACAAGTCAATGACAGAGAAGCAACTTGCAGACTTGTCCTTCCCTCCCTGACTTGAGGAAACTTGTCTGGTTGCAACACACTGCTCTGGGAGCAGGACTATTCATTGCTCTGTGTGACAAACTATGGTGCCTGTGAAAGCAGATAATCCCTTTCTTTCCCTGCCTTGACTGAAGCATGAAAAGATGAGAAACAGACAGATAAATTGAACAGGAAAAGCATTTGCAAAAGTGCAAAGTCATATGCACACTCTGTGGCACAGGTCAGGGCATTGAAGGCATCTTGCTGTCCACCAGCTGCTTCCTGAGTCTCACCTGACCTTGGCAGGCACAGATCTGCTGGGCTTCAGAGTCAGGCTCTCTGCACCAGGCTGGTCTTGCACAGGGCCTGAGGTCTGTGGCAGTGTTCAGTCACTGCCTTCACCCTTCCCTTGGTCTGCCACTTGCTTCTGAGCCATGTGAAATAAGCAGCCAAATCCACAAGTCCCTGGGGAGGACGAGTATCTCTGAATTTGCTGTGTGTAGAGTCAACACTGACCCTGTCCTGTGGCTGCCCATGCTTTGACCTTGCAGGTCTGGCCTATTAGTCTGTGCTTTAGTTCTGCAATTTCTGAATAAACACTCCAGTTTGTGCTGGAGGTATGTGGTTTCCCTCTTCAGAAGAGCTTCTGGATGGTCTGTGTTGTTTTTTCCTAGCCTCTGCACATAAATAGTGTGGCTCTCAGGGCACAGACAGCACACACACTCTCTTGGGCTGCAGCCACTCTGCTGGTGCAGCTCGAGCCGTGGGGTGGGGCTGAGATCCTGGTGACACTTGCCCACACCAGGGCAGAATGAGCCCCACTTATGCTAAGCTGGGCATAACTTCCCCTCAGCCCTGGCAGAAAACTGGGATAGAGCCGCCCAAATAAATCCTGCCTGTGGCTGAGTTGGCAGCAGCAGGAGGAGAAAACCTCAGTACAGAAGTGAGCAATACATTTGTGTTGCTCACTGGGGATGTGTTTTGGCCCTACCAAAGCCTTTCCCTATGGTGCAGGGGAGACAACAAGCTCTGCAGAGAAGAACTGGCAACACAGAGAGTAGCACGCAGCCAGACAGCCTCTTCCATGCTATTTGGGGACTGGAAGGGGACAAACAGCCTTACAGAGCCTTGGGACAAATGAACAGGTAATAGCAGCAGCCGTGGACAGGTGTCCCCTCCTCTGCAGAAGTAGAAAGAGCTCAGGAAAGGAAAACAGGGAAAATCAAAACTCTGGACAGTCCTGAGCAATTAGTGAAGCTAGGACTTTTGAGCCTGGGAGAGAACTTTCTAAGGAGAATAAAGTTTTTGACGACAGCAGCAGCCTCTGGGACAGAAAATAGCGGATACAATCCATCTGACTGAGCACAGAAGTTTTATGCTGCTCACTACTGTTTCCAGCTGCAGCATTAAATCTGTCAGCAATGGCTTTGTTGTGCACTGTGGTGCTATGGGTGTCCCACCTGGTGGCTCCAGCAAGGTGCAGAACTGGGTGAGAGGATGAATTCCAGCTGACCAAACACAACAGTCATAGTAGACACTGGAACATCTCCCAGACTCTGAGGATGGTCACTGGCTTTGGGGAGCTCACTTGACCACATGGTAGATCCCAGACTCCTATCAGATGCCTGCAAGTGAGAGCTGTATGGGATACTAGTATAGCAGCAAGTCAGAGCAACATTATCTCCTGTGGGTGAGCACAGACCTGTCCTTGGAAGTTTTCAACTCACCCTGAAGCACTCTTCAAAGATGGTCAGAAATCTCAGCTGGTAATTCTGTACAGTTACAACATCTCATGTGGGACTGAAATGGTGTGAGGAGGCAAGCGCTGCATAAGCCCTCTGATCTCTGCCACTGTGAGTAAAGGGGGCCCCTTGCCTTTCCAGATTGTATGGCCTTGTTGCAGGTGTTTTGTGTGTCTGTGTGCTAGAAGTGGGAGATGAAAGAGCAGAGGAAGCCCCAAGGCCTGCTGATGCACACTGACACTGTTACCTTGGCAGGACTGAGCCCTGCCACAATCTCAAAGATGACCCTGACACCGGGAGCAACCTACACCTGAAAATTCTCCACTTCAGGGTTTTTCTCAAGTGCTGGAGCAGACATCTGGGATCCTGGTGTTCATCATCTCTGCTCAGGCTCTTTCCATGCTCCCATGTGTTATCTGAGCTGATTGCTCTATGAAAGGGCCTTAGATAAAAAGAAGAATAATATCTAATATGGGAAGTGTAGATGTTACTATTTTCAATTTACATCAGCTCTGGAACCAGTGAAGCAGTTTACCAGGGAGCCATGGGCTCATCTTCTCCCATACCAGTGAAACTTTATTTTCCCTTCACTAAATTGCCTCCTACAGAGAAAAAACTGCACTTGTTCAGCATCCTCCTCATCAGGATGAGTGTGTTTCTTGCTACTCCCCTATGGCCTTTCTTGCAGAAGTGTGGGTGAGATAATACTCTGTGCAGAGCACCCTGGTTTGTTATACGGATTTGAAATTAATGTTTTGACTGTGCAATTTTAGTAGCCCTTGGTGGGAACTGGCTTATGCTGTGTCCTCCAGCCATGCATAAAAAAAGTGCTGTTGAAATAAGATTGTGCACGTCATTTTATTATTCACCATAGCTAGCTTAAGTGTGCAATTCACACAGAGCACACAGGATCAATTAATCACCTGGTTTTAGTCTCAGGAAAGCTATCAGAAAGCTCAGGTATCTTGACACTGCCCATCCTTCAAAATCCGGATGTCTTTCCTGGTTTTCCTAGAGTAATATAGGAAAAAAGAGTAAGAGATAAAAAAAATCACCATTCCAACGGTCATACTTTGGCTGCATGCCATCAAATGGAATGGAGCTGACTGTTACAAAATTGACCTGCTCATTTTCCTGTCTAAAGAGCTGAGGTGACTGCAACATCCTGGCTCATGGATGTGCCCTCCCAGGGCCTGTGATCCTGGGGGTGCATCTGCAGATCAACCTGCTCACAGCAGGGCTGTCCCTAGCATGAGGTTATGGTGGCCATGGCTCTATTTGAGCCCTAACCACCACCCCCAAGAATGGAGACACCCCCCCGCCCTCCACCCCTCTGGTGCACCACCAATTGGACCTGGTGCCTGTGTCAAATTTTCACCCTCTTGGGGCTGCTGTTCGTGGCTGTTGCCCCATGTTGCCATGCCTGCACCAAGACAACTGAGGCTCCATCCCATCTGCAACTGCAGACTGCTGCTGGATACCCCAAGGCACCCCCTTTCTGAGCCTGGCTGGGTACAGCTCCTCTGCACTTCCTTGCAGCTTTTCTTGACAAGCTGGCCATCCTTCCCCTCCTGCAGCCCAGCACACGGTTTGTTATTTGCCAAGCAAGTGCAGCATGCCATGGCTTTTCCCAGGCTCTGGGGAGCCTGAATGACTGTACTTCACAAGCACCCAGTTTCAGACAGCCAAAATTAGACCCAGGAGGTCCCTGCCAAGGGCATGAGCTTACATTTTTTCCGCACAGAGCTGGCATTCATTGGCATAGGTATTCCCGTCGCTCCCACAGATGGGCAAGTACAGGAGGGGGCAGGCCTGCAGGTGAACCAGGTCTTCACACACCGGCTGGAAAGGAGAAGCCACAGCACACATTTCAGTGCCAGCAGCATGCATTTCTTCCCCCCAGAACACTCAGGCAGGAGCAAGTGCTACTGGCAACCTGGTTCCCTCTATCTCCGAGTAGTGTGTGCCCACAGAGGAGCAGGGGCTGCTGAATCCCTCAGTGGGACTCGTGGCCTGGGCTTTGGTGTGGGTTTGGTGCTGGAACACCAGTTGCCGTGAGGCTGGGGATGATTTCTAGGAACAGTCTTTCTCCCAGGCACAGCAGGCATGCCGTGAACAAAGAAAACCAGAAGACTCTTACCCTTCTCAGGCCACCCCCTTCATTCAGCTCTGCCCCTGAAACAGAGCAGAGACGCATGAGCGTGGCACACCCGTGCCTGACGGCAGAAGCATGAGATATTGACAGAGGATCACATCCAAACCAAAGGGAAGGCAGTGTTGTGCAGAGCCCAGGACTGAATCAGCTCTGTGGGTTTCATGAGGGGGGATCAGTTTGCTGCTGTGTGCCACTCCCACCCCCCCAACAGCAGCACAGTACGCAGCTTCCATCCACAGCTGAGCTGGCTGGGACAAAGCTGTGAATGGCTGTTCCCACCCCTAAACCCTCTCTCCCAGTTTTTGGGTCAGAAGCTCCATGGAGCATCCAACACATCTCAGGAAATGGGAAAGCATGCAATGCAGCATGTGGCATGAGGTATCCTCAGAGGGATGAGGCTTGGTGACATTGCACAGCTGGACATCTGTCACCTCTAGGGTGAGTGGCATTTGGTGGGTTCCTTTTTCTCAGGCAAGCAGAGCAGTAGGAACAGGTCACAGGCCACCTGTGCAGTACACAAGTGTCCTGGGAGCATGAAGGCTAGCACACAGGCAGCTGCAGGGCCACCACTACCTGCACGTAGGTAGCAATGGCTTCCCAGTGCCTATAAACAGCTGCTTCCCTTGTAAATATCATGAGCACATACTGTTCTTGCAAACTTGCCAGTTTGCATGGAGGCAGGAACTGCAGCAGCTGTGGAGTCTCCCCTCTCCCAGATCACTCCCAAGTGCAATACTTTTGATGAACCAGCCTGTAACTCTTGTCACAAACTGCTAATAAGGAAGGCACAGTGTGTTTGCTCCAATCCTTCTCCCTCACCATGCTGCCACTGTTTGTTTGCCCTAACCTCACCTCCTCTCCAAACCAGAAATTCTGGGTCTTCATGCCTTATCATGCATTCCCCTCCATCCCGTTATCCGTCTGCCATTGCCGATGAACCAGATCCAGCAGCAGAGCAGATTTACCTGCGGCAGCGACCAGAGTCATCATTGTTGCCACCAGCAGCAGCAGCTCTCTCCCAGGCATGGTGAGCTCAGGCAGACCTGCTCACACACCTCGCTCTGCTCGTGGCTGCCTTTATAGAGGAGGGCACAGCTTTATCTCAGGAACCCTGGGAAAAGCAGTGCTTTGTTCCTGCTGGGAGCAGCTGGACTGTACACCCTAAGGGATCACTTAGGCACTCTCACACATAAGATAAGCTTTCCCCGGAAGCTTCCCACTTGTCAGCTTCAGGTGGCAGCTGCTTTGGAGGCTGTTTTACAATCCCTTTGCACTGTAGTCAGATGTTGTGGTTTGGCAATGCCAGGCAGCCACAGAAATCTCTCACTCACCCTCCCCTGCCACAGCTGGGCAGAGCAGAGAAAAATTACATGAAGGCTTCATGAGTTGAAATAAGGACTGGACTGACAGAAAACACTCCAAGGGCAAAAGAAGCTTGGCTTAGAGGTACTAAGTGAGTTTATTATTAACAAAATCAGAGGAAGATAACAAAAAGTAAAATAAGCCCTTAAAAACACCTTTCTTTCTCCACAACCCCTCCCTCCTTCCCACTGGCAGCATGGGAGACAGGGCAGGGGGGTTTTGGTCAGTTCATCACCCAAAGTCTTCTTCTGTTGCTCCGGGAGAGGAGCCCTTCCCCTGTGAGACTGTGGGGTCCCTTCCTGCAGGAGACAGTTCTCCATGAACTTCTCCAGCGTGGCTCCAATCTCATGAACAGCAGTCCTCCCTAAATTGCTGCCATGTGACTCCCTCCCACGGGCAAACAGTGCTCCCAAAACTGCTATGACGCGTCTCTCTTCCCACAGGGCGCAGTCATCCAAGGATGGGCTGCTACAGCCTGGGGGCAGGGCCCCTCTCTCCACAGGTCTCCCACAGGATCACAGCCTCCTCCAGGCATCCACCTACTCCAGCATGGACACCAGCATGGGGTGCAGGTGGATCTCTGCATCCCTGTGGATCCCCATGGGCTACAGGGGCACAGCTGCTTCACCATGGGCTGCACCACGGGCTGCCAGGGAATCTCAGCTCCAGTACCTGGAGCAGCTCCTGCCCCTCCTTCTGCACTGACCTTGGTGTCTGCATGTTTTTTCCCTCACACGTTCTCAACTCCTCTTTGGCTAGAAGAAAAAATCGTGTGCCACTTTGTTTTGATTTTCTTATTAAATCTGTTATCACAGAGGCATTATCAACCTCTCTAATTGGCCCAGCCTTGTCCAGCAGCATGCCCATCCTCAGAGCCATCAGGGACTTGCTCTGCTGGACATGGTGGAAGTTTCCAGCAGCTTCTCACAGAAGCCACCTCTGTGGTCCCCCACTATCAAAAACCAGTCCATGCAAACCCAACACATGAGGGCTGGGCAATGCTGCTCTTCTCTGCTTACCCCAGCCAGCTACTTCTGATTGTATCTCACCCAAACCATCCCTTCAGCCTTGCAGCTGCTGTTCTTCATATGTGACAGGTCTCTGCACTTGAGTGGTGAGACTAGACATAGAAAAGCCAGGAAATTCAGGCTGATTAGAATGGTGGCACCGTGGCATTATCCCATGAGACCCAGCCAGGTGTATACACAGCTGCCTGACGCACTGGTCAGGATCCCAAACCAAACGGGAGGCTTGTCACCATGCTGCAGCAAACCCACACAGTCACTGGGGGGATGTGATGGGACAGGCTGGGGGTGCAGAGGGTCTGGAGGGTACAAAATTCAGCTGCATGGGGGCAAGGAGCCGCAGGTGCAGTCACTGCCTATGCTCAGAAAAGCCACATAGTCAGAGGTGGTATAATACCTTACTCCACTCACCGCCTTGGCTGCAGCTGAGATTGCCAGAGCAAAATTATCTTTACCATAAGATTCAGTGTGTTGGAAGGGGCCAGTGTGCATGGATACCCAGATTAAATACACAGAGGTGGCACACAGAGCAGGGAGAGGACAGAGAGGCTGGAGATCATCCTCACTGGCAAGAAACACCGTCTTTTCAAAAAGAATCATGACCCCAGAATATCCCAGCTGTTTTGCTTGCAAGACTGGATGCTTTATGTCAGGGCGAGCATTCTTATCTGCTCTTTCTCAGAAGCTTTATTTTCTACATCTGTGCCCACTTTCCTTTGGTGAAAAAAATCAGTTGGTGAAGGGTGAAGGATGGAAAAGAGGACCACTGATCATAAAGTCAGTGCAATGCCAATGTTGACTAAAAATTCCTTTGGGTCAGACTTGCTGAAATGAGGTGTGGGCCAGAAGGGACAGAGGGTCACCTTCCCCACGGGAGCAAATGGGATGTATCATGTGTGCAAGGGGTGAGCATGTGGTAGATGCCCTACAGAAACCACCAGCAGGCTGGGAGAGCTCCAGATGCATGGAGCACACACATTTGCACTCACTGAGGATCTGACTACAACTGTGCTTAGGATGTTTTTTCCCCAGAGGAAGATACACACTGGCCTTTTATGTCTGAGTCAAAAGGGAAGCTTGAGCATTCCTTGAGGCCAGAGAGGTATGGGCCCTGCCAGAGGCTGCTTGCATCCTTCTACTGGAGGTCCTTTCACACAACTCAGCAGGGCTGTGACCAGGACTTGGGAAGTGGCAACGTAACCAGCTCAGTGTTCCCCTTGCAGAGTCATTCCTCCACTCTGCCAAGGCAGCTGCACACGTTTTATAGTCCCTCTTCACGGAGTTTACACAGTTCAATAACCTTTGGCTTTCATTATTATTCCACTTTGGAAATCCCTCAACTAAAGTAAATATTTAACTGCATTAGCAGTTTTTCCCAAGGCACATGGGGTCCTGTTAGTCTTGTTTAGTCTAGTACAAGGGAGGCCAAGGGGGATCTGATAGCAGCCTACAACTGCTGGAAGGGAAGCTGATGGAGCCAATCTCTTTTTGGTGGTGCCAGATGACAGAATAAAAAGCAATTGTCACAAACTGCAGCCTTGACATGATCAGGTCAGGAGTCAGGGAAGAAGCCTTACCCCAAAGGGTGTACAGCCCAAACCAGCCGAGAGGCGGGACATCTGCATCTCAGCAGGACATGTACGTGACCAAGCCTCACTGTGCACAAGGTTTGTTGGGTGAGCCCTGAAGGACCCTGCCACCAGCAAGTTGGGTCCATGGGACAAGCAGCTGTCAGTCTCCAGCACACATGGATGTATGTCCTTAGATTCACATCTGGCAAATCTGGTCCTAGCCAACACTTGACGATATGAACAACACAGAGCCCCCTCCTGCAAACTGCTCACACGTCAACACACTTCACAGCCCCAGATGAGGGCTATCTTTGGCCTTTAAAGTCTTCTCCAAAGTTTTTACTACCAAGAAAAACACCCAAATTCTGATTGTAATGCTTCCAGTGCCACCTCAGCTACCTCTGATTCCAAGCATGGCCTGGTTCTCTGGTCAGCAGCACAGGAGCAGCAGGCTGGGCTGTGCTGCTCGGACACATTGTGTACTCCAGATCACTCCCCTTGGACAGAGGGTGGCAGGAAATATCTGCTTCCCCTCTGTGCTGGAGGCAGCAAGGTCAGTGGTGCTGTAGCAAAGCTGTTGGCTGATACAAGGCTTGATCTTCCTCCACCTCATTCCTGTGGTATTCAAATTCCAGTGCATTCACAAAACAGATTAAAATGACCTGCTAAGAGATGACAAAGGGTAAACGACCTCTTGTAAACTGTTTTTGTCTTTTCAAGCTTTTCTGTCAAGTGCAAACTTGAAACTCCTAATGAAAGACCCTGTCTACTTTATCCCTGGAAGAAGAGGTGGGGAAATCCTTCCTCAGGTGGGGCAGGAGGTTTTGTGGTGGCTGCTTCCCTCCAATTGGCTGTGGAGCTCCAGCTGGCTCTGCATTTTCTCCCTGTAAGATGGTGATGTGGAAGGCTTCAAGACATAGGACGGGGGGATGTGAAGTCTCTGGGTTTGCCTGAGGAGCTGGAGACCTAGTGTCACCACCAGCAAGACACAAATTCCACTGGAGACAGTGGCAACAAGCAAGGAGACTTCTGATTCTGAAACCAATCTTAGTCCTGCCCCCTTGCAGCATTGCCCCTGTCTTGTGCTTGTGCCATACCAGTGGTACCCACATCCGTGCACTCATCTGGGATTGCTCATCACATCAGAAGCCCTTATTACACCTCTCCCCTGCCAGGGGACTGCAGCTCTGTTCGCAGGCTTTCCATCTGAGTGGGCACAGACGGCAGGCGGCCAGGCCGGATTGCATCACATCGCTCTTGCCCTACATCTGCCTGGTGGCCTTATCAGTGGCGTGGCCTTGGTGTCGTCACCACTCCACCCAGCACCTGCCGTTTCCTTGCTGTTATCTGCTGTCTTTCCTGGATTTCATGGCTGTTCTCGGCCTTCCCATGTTCTGCGCCCATACTGATATTTTAACTCCTGTTCTGCTGCTCCTCCCAGGGCTTTGGCGTACCAGCAGGCACTGGTGTCCCACAAGTGCCCTGAGAGAAGAGCGCTGCCTTGTGTGTGCAGCCCAAACCAGAGCCCACCATCTACCTTCCTGCTGCACAATGGGGCAAGGCAAAAAGAGGAGGGCAAGTGCCATGCTCATTTTCGTCTTTAGCTCACTCCCTGCATCTAGATGACTTTTACAGAGAGGATAACCGTCTTTGTACTTTTCCTCTGACCACTCTGAGGTCCCCAGACAAGTAGGAGAGAGAAGGAGCAATTTATTCCCCTTTGTATGAAAAAAACCCCAAACCTCGCCCCCCCCGCAAAAAAAAAAACCCAAAAATCCAAAAAAGGCCAAAAAACTCCTTCAAACAAACCAAACAAATAAACAAACAAAACCTGAACAAACTAAACCAAAACCCAAACCCAAAACCAACACCAGAGGTGCAAGTGACCACCAGAGGATATACTGTGGATCCAAAACTCAACACCTAAAATCTCACTCTGTTACTGGGGAAGGGACCAGCCATCATCACTTCCCAGCAATTTTGCCAGACTTTCAGGATTCAGAATACATCTCTGGCCACCTTCTTCCTTTTTATTGCTATGAGTAAATACTGCGGTATGTCAGACAGG